CTCTCTAAACTGTCTGACCTTTGGCCACTTTGGGTCTCCACAGCAGACTTAGATAACCAAATGGCCACTCTAAAGCTGTCCCACTCTGGTGACCCAGACTTCTCCATCATGCTTCTGCATTCTCTATTTTTGGTTGTTTGCTGATCCGTTTGAAGGGAAGGACTAGGGGTGTGGTGGTGTTGGAGCACATGCCCAGCACGTAAGGCCCAGAGTGCAGTCCCCAACACCACAAAAAGTAGTAAGAAGCAAGCCAGCACACCCCTCCTGATTAATGTTCCTATTTATTGAGACAGAGTCTCTGCATAGCCCTGGCTGACTTAGAAGTCACTATGTAGGCCAGGATGACCTCGAACTCAGAGATCTGCCTGCCTCTGCCTCTACACCGCTGGGATTAAAAGCATGCGATGCCGCTGTCACCACCACCACCCGGCTATTTTTTAAGATAAAAAAGGTTGTGTGTATAAGCATTTGCCTGAATGTATGTCTATGTACCACTTGCATGCCTGGTGGCCTCACAGGCCGGAAGGGGTCACTGGATCCTGTAGCATGATTAAACCCCGGAGACAGATAATGGGGTTCAACACGAAGACCAGACAAGCAAAGCAGCCAGCCACTGGCTCTTACCTCAACCTCAGTCCAAAATCGCGATCCTGCCTCTAGGGATTCTCAGAAAGAGACTGAGCCTGAGTGCTGTCTCCTCCCAATTTATATTCCTCTCTAGTGCTGGAATTTAAGGCGTGCACCACTAACACCTGGTTTCTATGGCAAACTAGTGTGACTACTGGGATTAAGGGTGTATCTCATTACTGCCTGGTCTGTAAGGCTGACCAGGGCAGCTGTTTTATCCTCTGATCTTTAGGCAAGCTTTCTTTGTTAAAATACAAATGAAATAATACTGCATTTCCCCTTTTTTTTCTAAAATAAAAAAGCTATAACTAATATAAGAAAGACAATATACAATAAGTACAATGACTGTATATAATATATATAATGCAATAATGTCTAGTCCATTTGCATTTGACAAGTTCAGAGAATATAATGCATAGCTATCCTGGTCTTGGTGAGTCCAAAATCTTGTACCTGATTTATTTCTTCTTCTTCTTCTTTTTTGTTTTTTTGAGGCAGAGTTTCTCTGTGTCATTTTGTTACCTGTCCTGGAACTAGCTCGAACTCACAGAGATCCTCCTGCCTCTGCCTCTGGAGTGCTGGGATTAAAGGTGTCTGCCACTACCGCCTGGCTCCTAATTTACTCTCTATCATGACTTGCTTGCTACATCAGGTAAGCAAGGAAAACTATAACTTTCTAGTCTTCAACTCTCTCATAGACCCAAGAAGGAAATAATATTAACTGAGTAAGCAGGAAGTGTGAACAAGCGACTTCCAGAAAATGTGAGAAATGACAGAAACAGCTGGCTGCCTGGACAGTCGCCCAAAGTTCCTCTGCAATGTTGGGGCATCCATCTTCAGCCTACAGGCCTGGCATATCCGACAAACTTTTCTGTGAAGCAGGATATTCTGAAGGGCTGACCCTCCTTGTCTTGACAGTGTTTGACAGTCTCTTTCTTTGGTGTCCTGCTTGTCTAATTAGAACAGCATACTGTGAGCAGTCAAGGCAAGGGCATTTTCTTGCCCAGGAGCTTACTTTTGCCATAAAAAAGTAAACTCAGCTGCGCAGTGGTGGCACACACATTTAATCCCAGCAGAGGCAGAGGCAGTAGGATCTCTGTGAGTTCAAGGCCAGTCTACAAGAGGTAGTTCCAGGACAGGCTACAAAGCTACAGAGAAACCCTGTCTTGAAAAACCAGAAAAAAAAAAAGTAAACTCCATGTATAGTTTCTTCATTGCCCATCCTCTTCTCTGAAGTAGATTGGTGCTGCCAGCGGCACACATGCCTCACTGTCATAAAAAAGGAGCCTATGTTATTAAAACATCTTAAATGCCATATTCTATAGATCTCTGAAGTGTTTGAAGATGATCTGTCTATCTAAAATATTTCTGCTTGACCTTGAAAACATTCCTAATATGACGACAAGTTCGATTAAAATAGATGACTAATTACTAACCTGCATTTTCTTATTATCCTAAGCAGTTGGTGTAATGATCTGTTCTGTCTCTTTAAGAGACAAGCCATGCCAACTCCCTCCCTGCTTCTGCTGAGGCAGGCAGATCTTCCACTTGCAGCCTGAGTCTCTTCCTTTTCCATCTCCCTCTGGAAGAGGCACCTTCTGCCTCTCCCCCTGCTGCCACTGCTCAGGGACCTGCAGCATTTCTGCCGTTGCAGCTGCCAGGATCCTGCAGCATTTTTAATTAATCCATTACAATTGGTATTAATAACTTTCAAAGACTAGAAATTTGCATTACATTGTTAAATGAAGTGTGTAGGTAGAATTCCCTAAACAAGTTTAGAAACGTATGTACAGTATGTTTTAACAAAATTAATCTCACACCAGGTGGTGGTGGAGCACACCTCTAATCCCAGCACTTGGGAGGCAGAGGCAGGGGGATCTCTATGAGTTTGAGGCCAGCCTGGTCTACAGAGCAATTTTCAGGACAGGCTCCAAGCTACAGAAATACCTTGTCTCGAAAATTAAAAAAAAAAGAAAACTAATAATAATCTCAAATTTGTATATAATATATAAGAGTCCAATCAATTATAAAATATTTAAAACCAGTAATTGCTTTCTAAAAGTATATTCAATAATCCACTGTTTTATCTTACCAGGATCCCTGGAACTAGAGTCACAGACAGTTGTGAGCTGCCCTCTGGGTGCTAGAAACTGAGCCCAGGTCCTCTGGAAGGGCAGAAAATGCTCTTCACACTGAGCCACCTCTCCAACCTTTGTTTTGCCTTTTGAGACAGGTATTTCACCAAATCTGCCCAGCATTCTTTAAAATATTATATAAACATTAAAATTTTAATCGGGGTGCTTAAATTGGTATCTCTACATAGCCCTGGCTGACTTGGAACTCACAATATTGACCAGGCTGGCCTCAGACTCAGAGTCCACCTACCTTTGCCTCCGAGTACTGGGCTTAAAGGTGTGATCCTAAAAATTATTTTGTGCTCTTTTTATGTTTTCTTTTGTTTTTCGAGACAGGGTTTCTCTGTGTAACAACCCTAGCTGTCCAGAACTCGCTCTGTAGACCAGGCTGGCCTCGAACTGACAGAGATCCACCTGCCTCTGCTTCGCAAGTGCTGGGATTAAAGGCGTGCACCACCATCACCTTTTTCAAAAAGGTTTTGTGTGTCTGGGTGTTTTGTCTATATATACATATGTGTGTGTGTGTGTGTGTGTGTGTGTGTGTGTGTGTGTGTGTGTGTATGCATGCAGCTTTTGAGGAGGCCGGAAGAGGGCACCAGATCCCAGGAACTAGAGTTACAGATGGCTGTGAGTCACCATGTGGGTGCTGGGAATTGAACTTGGGTTCTCTGCAGGAGCAGCTCCTCTTAACTGCTGAGTCATCTCTCCAGCCGAGTTGTGCTGTTTTTGAGAGCATTATTTAGCTGGCTCTGTGATACAAACTGTCCCTTTTTTTTTTTTTTTTTTGGAAGCCAGAGCAGGAAAATCATCTATCCATGAGTTGAGAGCAATTTGAGCAACACGGCAATAATGAATAGCTTCTCAACAGTTGTGTGGCAACGATAAGCGTGCATTCAGGAGGCAGCTCATGTGTCTGCAAACGTCTCTTCAGGCGAACAGCTGATGTGTTTCCTCTTCATCTGTTACCAATAAAGGCTGTTTGTGCCCTAAAATAAATAATAGCTAAATTAATGTAAAGTTTTACTTTGAGAAAGGGTTTCTAGTTCAACAGACTGTCAAAGGGGTCACAACAAGAGGAGGCAGAGGCCCTCTCTGAAGGTTGTTATTTACTTAATTTTAATTTCTGCTGTTTCATTTTTTGTTTTTGGAAGGGGTTCACTCTGTAGTTCAGGTCCTCCTGGAACTTGAAGCCATGCACACTGCCTCAGCCTCCAGAACCTGGAGGTTACAAGCTGGAGTCACCGTGACCGGCTCTCCAAACATGTCAAGCCATTTCCTCCGATACTCACAAATGTCCCATGAAGCAAGGGCAGTGATGCCCTGAAACTGAGCACCGGGTCAGCTGTCAGCGCAACAACTCCGGATGGCAATAACAAAAGGTATCCGGGGACCCCCCCCCTCGCGAGTGGGGGATGAGGCCACCCATGCGCTTCTGTTCTGCACCAGCCACTCACCAGGTTCTCTTGTTGTTGCTTTAGGTGCTAAGAGGTCAGAATCCCGGGCTGGGGGATGGGGCCAGTTTTTTGTTCTGTTGTTTTAGTCTCCCTGTGCAGCCCTGGCTAGCCTGGAATTAGGCTAACGTCAAACTCACAGGGATCCTCCTGGTGAGGCCAGTTTCGAGATGAATCTCCTGCCAGTTCCGGACTGCCCGAGTCACACCCCCGTGGCGTCAACCCCGGAGCCCGATGGCGTAGCTGCCAAAGTCCTAGGATGCCAAAGGGGCAGGGCAGGAGGAAGGCAGACGGGGGCCAATGGCAGTCCAGCGCCTCACCTGGGTGACCACGTGGGCCCAGGTATGCGGCGGCCCCACCCTGGCCCAGCCCGGCGGACTCCGGGCTCCGTCTGGGAGCGGAAATTCCTGCAGGGGCTGGACGCTGTGAGCGGAGCTCAGCATGGAGCCCGTGGAAGCCTGGACCCCTGGGAAGGTGGCAGCTTGGCTGAGAGGTTGGTGAGCTGGGGGCAGAGGTGGACTTGAAGGGAATAGTGTGGTGTCCTTTGGACAGAAAGTAGGGAGGGGGGAAAAGGAGAAAGAACCTGCCAAGTCTATTAGTCAACAGGTATTTATAGACGGTCTGCCATGTATCAGTGTACCAGGCTCCCCTGAACAGGCACCGTGCTGGTAGACATAGGCCAGGCGACACCAGAGGCCCTAAGACACAGGAAAGGGTCTTTCCACGTCTTTGTATGTCTTTGTATGTTCAAGCGCCTGCCAGGGTGGCAACGGGCAGGTGCAGTAATAGGCAAAACAGGGTGGCCCTGGTGGCCCACGCCCCCTTTATCTCTGTCATCTTCCCTGTGCCCCAGGGCCCTGCCAGCTGCTTATTAAGCCCATTTTTCGGAAGTCCAAACATATACAGAGCCAGGAAGTGATTTGTTCAGTCTTGGAACAGGGCCCTCGCTGGTGTGGCTTCCTCAACCTGAGGCGGGCAGTGAGAGAAGCAGCAACCTGAGGCGGGCAGTGAGAGGAGGCCGTTCTGAAGGGGTGAACACAGCCCCACCCTGGGGTTACCGGCAGAGGGAAGATCACTCCCCAGGCGACCAAGAGACGCAAACACAGGCAGACTCAGAGAACTGAGGGCCTTCTGTGATCGCAGCAGGGAGTGGGGAGGCCATTGCTCTCACAAGGGGCAGCTGGAGCTCGCTGGAGGCCTTCATTGTGAGCAGCCCAGCCAGCCCAGCCAGCCCAGCCAAGCTGCAGTCACGCTCCCAGGCTGGGGCCCAGGCCAGCGCCGCCACTCCCCAGGTCTGTGAGCACAGGTCTCAGTTTCTCTACCATGAAACTGGACAAGATATGACCATGCTGGTGTGACTGGCATGTGTAACTCAGTGTTGGTGTCTCCTGGGAGACATGTAACATGGGAAGGAAGTTGTCCAAATAACCCTGGCTTAGTGAGCTGCCAGTCAGGACTCTTACTGTCACAGGAGGACTGAGAAACACCCGATGACTACACACATTCCCAGTGACAGTCTAGCCGGGTGGGGTGGGAGGCATGAGCAAGCCACTGTCTCTCCCGCCATCAGGTCTCCCACTGTGTATCAGGGATGATGCGTAGTCCCCACCTTCTAGAAACGTGAAGATCAATGTGACGATACGTGTAGTGATACTTTATTTGTAACATTTGACTCTGTTTTTTTATTAGTAATACCAGTTAGAATTCGTGCTACAAATATGGGTGAAGTTCTTTTTATTTATTAGTTCTGGAGGCAGGGTTTGTTTCCCTGTGCAGCCCTGGCTGTCCTTGAACTCACTCTATAGACCATGCTGGCCTCGAATTTAGCGATCCCCTTGTCTCTGCATTCCAAGTGCTGGGCTTAAAAGCATGCACCACCACACTTGACTAAGGGTAAAGCTCTTGAAACATCGCCTCCCACAAAGTCAGGTCACAGTGGACAGCCTGGCAATAGTGTGATGGCTGTTACTACCCGACGGTGGCCCTAGTGATTGGCACACATCAGTTGTCTAAAACACATGGTTAGAAGGCAGCTGCTTTCATTGTTCCCATTTATTTTTAAATTTTTATTTCCCTAATGTATATGAGTATTTTACCTGCATGTATGTGTATGCACCTTGGGTGTGCTTATGCATGGTTATGGGCTACCACCATGTGAGCGCTGGAAACTGAGCCAGGGTCCTTTGTAAGAACAGTAAGTGCTCTTAACCACTGAGCCATTTCTCCTGTTTTTGTTTTTTTGGAGATAGGGTTTCTCTTTAGCTTTGGAGCCTGTCCTGGAACTCACTCTGTAGGCCAGGCTGGTCTCAAACTCACAAAGATCTGCCTGCTTCTTCCTGCTTCTTCCTCCCAAATGCTGGGATTGAAGGGCATGTGCCACCACCACCTGGCTGCACAGGACTATCTTAAGTGTTAACTCCCACTCAGCTCTCCCTGACTCCGGGGGGGGGAGGGGGGTAAGGGGTAGGGATCCTGGGGAACAAGCTCAGTCCTCAGCCAGAGCAATGTGTCTAGTTCTCAACCACTGTAGCATCACGCTCGACTCTTTTGTTTTATTTTTTGGTAACTGGATTGCAAGGTGTTTGAGCATGAATTTGGTAGATGGCAATGCCAGCAGGTTGGACACACTTGCTAGAATCGCTGCTGTATACCATTCTCAACTCAGTAGCATCAACTGTGAGATGGGACAGAAGCCAGCCCGGGTCTCAGGGTTGTCATTAGCGACAGGTAGGAGGGGAAGAGCTCTGATGTAATGGAACCTCAGAGTGGTAATGACACCTGTTTCTCCACACTGACCCCTTGCTCCAGGCCTTGATGACGCTCTGCAGGACTATCCCTTCGAGGACTGGCAGCTGCCTGGAAAGTACCTGCTGCAGCTTTGTCCCCAAAGCCTTGAGGCTCTGACTGTGTGGCCTTTGGGCCACCAGGAGCTCATTCTAGATGGGGTGGAACAACTCCGGGCCCTGGTGAGTAAGCACTGGCCATAGCATCCGCCACACTGGTTGTAGCATCCATCAGTCTGGGGATTTACCCATGTGGGCTGGCTGTCGAGGGGACAGTAAGATGCCCGTTTTTGATGCAGGGCTCCAAGCTACCAACAGAGAACCTTCAGAGTCTGGCTCAGGGGCTGCTAGAAAGGGCCCAGGCCTTGCAGAGCTTGGTCCAAGGCCGTTTGGGAAACTGCCCAGAGACTCCCTCTGATGTCCTCTCTGCTGCTGTGGAGCTGGTGCGGGAAGCCCAGGCCCTCCTCTCCTGGCTCAACAGGTATTAGGCTTGGGGTGACTTCTGACCCTTCTCATCCTGGGGCCTGGGACTGAAAAACAGTACTTGTCTCTGGATCAGATATGTCAGAGCAAACCCAAGAGTCTGTGCAGGGACACCGGGCCACCTTGCCTCCCGCCCCACCCTGGAGCTTGTCATCCCAATGGTTTTATGAACAGTTGAGTTTTTGTTTGCATGTTTGACATTTGTGTGTATGTGTGTGTATTGGAGTGTTTGGGGGTGGGCTTGCACAGGAGTGTATGCGAAGGTCAGAGCATCCCTTGTAAGAATCAGTTTTCGTCTTCCACCGTGTGAGTCCTGGGTATTGAACTCAGGAACTCAGGCCCTCACCGCTGTAGGTGAGCACCTTAGGGATAAACAATCTCCCTGGTCCCTCAACAGCTCTTGAATAGAGAGCTTCCCCTTTGCTGGCAGTTGTCTGTCCTACATGTCCTACCTCAAGTGTCTCCTCCTCAGGGATTCCTGTGTCACCCTTTCGGCTCATTTGTAATACTCAGAACAGTTGAAGTTAAGTCATTAATAATAGAACTGTCTGTTTGATGACTGTCTCCCTGGTGCCGACTACAGGGCCTGGCACACACGGGACAAAAAGGTCCTGTGCTGAGCCCAGCGCACTGAGGTAGGAGTTGTCTCCACCTCTCAGGTGAGGAATTATACCCAACACAATGTCTTAATTGTCCTTCCTGCCAGGTACCTCTTCTCCCAGTTAAATGACTTCTCTGCCTGCCAAGACATTGGTGTGTTGTGCCAGGAGCTGGGCCAGGTCTTGCAGGAGGTAGGAGGACAGGGGCCACTCCAGGTCTCAGAGCTTTTTATAACCTGTGAATCAGACCAAGATTAGGTGTGAGAGCTGGAGGGGGGCGGGGGTGCGGAGAGCAAGCACAGGAGAAGGTCTGCCTCTGGGAATGGGGTAACAGGTAATGGGGTGGGTTGTGGGATGTCTCTGGCAGAAGTTCAGGTGACGTTTGGGAAGGATGGCAGAAGAGGACATGGGTAGTAATTGAGTCAGGTGTCATGTCGGAGGAAGGAAACCTTGGCGTTGAACACTGAGACCATTCTAGTTCTGTCAAGTTCTACTAGTTAGAGAAAGCAAGTGAAGAACATCAAAGGCCCTTCTTAGCCTCTCCCCAGGTCCTCAGGAGAAAATGGCCCCCACTGCCATCTAAAAGGGGGCTACTGTACTCTCTGTTTTCAGGACTGCCCAGAGGCTGAGAAGGAAAGCAACATCCTGAGGATTGTGAGTCTCGGGGCTGGGTGGGGAGGCATAAGATGTGGACTCGGATGCAGCCAGACAACCTGCCCTCCTCCCCCAGTGCAGTCACGTGGCCGGGATCTGCCACAACATCCTGAGCTGCAGCCCAGAAGAGCTGCTGGAGCAGAGGGCTGTGCTGGAGCAGGTGCAGCTGGGCGACCCTTCGGTGAGTTCTGACTCTCACCCTCTCCTGCAGCCGCCCGCAGCCTTGGCTGAGCCCTGAATTGTGGCCCGGGAGTTCCAGCATCTGTATTGCTAAGTCTGTTGTGTACAGATGTTTGAGGGCCCAGAGGACCTACCTGGAGTCTCACCTTTGCTGGGCACCTTACCCAAGCCAGAGGGGCTATTTAGTGTGGCCTGGGTGACATTCCAGCCCTGACAGGGTTCTGGAGCAGATTCATAGAGATGGGAGGGAACGCTTACACTTTAAACTTGACCAGTTAAGAAAACCAGAGTTAGGGCTGGAGAGATGGCTCAACGGTTAAGAGCACTGGCTGCTCTCCCGGAGGACCCAGGTTCAATTCCCAGCACCCACTTGGCAGCTCACAACTGTCTGTAACTCCAGTTCCAGGGGATCTGACACCTTCATAACAAATGCATGCAAAATAAAGTTAAATAAATATTAGGGCTGGAGTCATAGCTCAGCAGTTAGGAGCACTGACTGCTCTTCCAGAGGACCCAGGTTCAATTCCCAGAACCCACAGAGCAACTAAGAACTGCTTGTAACTCCAAGATCTGACACTCTCACACAGACATACATGAACACCAATGCACATAAAATAAAAACAAATTATTAAAAAAAGAAAGGAAACCAGAGTTGCTCCCCCTGCCCTCCAACCCCATGTCATCCCCCATTCTCCCTTCAGGAAAAGTTCTGAGGTTCTGCTTTTGCTACCTCAGAAATCAGCGACCCAGCTTTCCTGTGGTCTTATGGGTCCGTGTGTGTCCGTGTGTGTTTGTGTGTGTGTGTGTGTCTGTGTGTCTGTGTGTGTGTGTCTGTGTGTTGGCAACGAGCCCAAAGTTACACAGCAGTTACAATCCCATCTTGAGGCTCTGCTCCCATTCTGTGTACCTTAGAGTCCTGGTGCCCAGGTGAGGTACTGCCCATTGGCTCTGCTCAACCCCGGTTTACTTGACTTAGCTCCTATCTCTGCAGGATCTAGAAATCCATACCACCAGCAACTGCCTACACTTCGTGTCCCAAGTCGGTGCCCAGGTAAGAGCCCCACCGCTCTCACCACCCGTGCCTACCCTGAATTCTCAGCTGCAAGCCATGCCAGCTTCAGGTCCAGGAAAGCCCCATTCTCTGCCCCTCCTCACACCAGGCTCCTGCCAGCTCCCAGATCCTGCCAGGAGATGAGATTGTCCAGATTAATGAACAGGTGGTGGTGAGTGAGGGACGGGGGCAAGGTGGTGGTGATGGGTGCTGAGGAGACGCGTGGGGGCAACAGGAGCGTCGCCTGAGGGGTTTGCCTCTTGTGAAGACCAGGGCTGCGGGAGCTGCCTTGCATGACATGCGCCAACATAGGAAGGTCTCAGGGTGACCCCCTGAGGAGTGGGGTTTCACCTGGGTTCTGGCCTTTCCTCTCTCAGAGCTCAGTTAAAGAGGCTCCTGGAGGCTCCCTGAAGGTGGACAGAGAGGGTGCTCCTGACAGGGAAGAGTTACTGGGCAGTTTAGAACCTCACTCAGTGTCCCTGTCCCCCAGGTGGGCTGGTCCCACAAGAACGTGATGGAGCTGCTGAGGGAGCCAGGAAGGGTCAGCCTAGTGCTGAAGAAGATCCCAGTGCCCGAGACCCCTTCTCAGGTACCTGCCCCTCAACCCCTCCTGCCTACTTCCTCACTCCCGTGGGCAGCTCTGTCACTTTGTCTCTGGTTGTTCACAGATGCCCCTGGACTCCCCTCACCTGCCAAGCCAGTCCCTGCCTCTGACCCCACTATCTCCCAGGTAACAAGCTCTGTCTACTGGGTGTGTCTGGTTTTTGTTTTGTTTTTGTTTAAAGAAAGGAAGGAAGGAAGGAAGGAAGGAAGGAAGGAAGGAAGGAAGGAAGGAAGAAAGAAAGAAAAAAGAAAGCTTAACGTGTATTACTTCTTTCTTAAAAAACAAAAAACAAAAGAAAACCTTTATTTTATGTGAGTTGGTATGAAGGTATCAGATCCCCTGAAACTGGAGTTCAGACAGTTATGAGCTGCCATGTGGGTGCTGGGAATTGAACCCAGGACCTCTGGAAGCGCAGTCAGCGTCCTTAACCTCTGAGCCATCTCTCTGGCCCTTGTTTTGGTTTTTGAGACAGGATTTCTCTGGGTAGCTCTGGCCGTCCTGGAACTCACTTTGTAGACCAGGCTGGTCTCACTCACAGAGATCCACCTGCCTCTGCCCCCCAAATGCTACAATTAAAGGAGTGAGTCGTCAGGCCCGACTTCCAGGTATTCTTGAAGTGGGGACCATCTCCTGTCCTCTTGTTTTCCACAGGGTTCCGTCCGAAAGTCTTTTTGCCTTCAACCTGTCTGCAGATGGAAGTCCTGGACCCAGCGCTGCCTGGACAGGTAGTTTCACAGTCCCGGCAGGTGGCACAGAGCCCCAGCAGGTGGCACATGCTCTGGAAATGGCGTCTCCATGCTGACTTTCCTACCCACAGGCCTGGGCCTGAGCTCATGGATTTCCCTTCTCTCTCTTTCCTGCCTGACAGACTCTACCTCCCTTGACACTAAGTCCCTGCCCACGCCCCCTCCAGCCCCAGGCACTGTTTCAGAAATAACAGCAGAGTCTCCTGAGACGTCTGGACACTCTGACCAGGTAAACTCAAGGACTCAGCAAGGAGGGCCATGGGCTCTGGCTCTAGAACCTTTTCTGAGCTCTTCGTGGTCTTTGCAGAGTTCCACCCTTGGTCGGAAGAAATCAAAAGGTATGAACGCCCCTGACTGGGTGGGGTCTTAGAAATCTTTATAGGGCTGGGCAGGACCCCTCAGTGCACACACATGCTTCCTACACAACAGTCTTTTCTGGAACCGTGGACCCCTGCTTCTAGCCTAGGCCTCTTGCTAGCTCTGAGACTGAGAAAGTACCCTCTGATTGTCAGTTTTATCTCATGTGGTGTGTGCGTGTGTGCGCACGCGCACATATGTGTGTGTGTGTGTCCATGTGTGCGTGCGTGTGCATGTCCCAGAACTTCCCAGAGCTGTGCATTCTACCACTAAGCTGTATGTCCAGCCTCTCTAAAATCACTCCACCTGAGGACATTTGTGACATTGTGAGCCCAGAGTGTGAGTTCAGACAGTCTACTGGGGATTCCCATGGAGGCAGGTAGACTGAGGGAAGGATGCCTGCTGGTCCCTCATCAGCATGCTCTGCTGTGTCGGGGCAGGTATGGCCACAAGGTTGAGCCGCCGACGGGTGTCTTGCCGGGAGCTTGGCCTGCCGGACTGTGATGGATGGCTTCTACTACGCAAGGTACCTGGAGGCTTTATGGGCCCACGCTGGCGCCGCTGCTGGTTTGTACTCAAAGGACACACCCTCTACTGGTACCGCCAGCCCCAGGTGAGACCCCATGAACACTTGCCTAGGTACCATGTGGACCTAAGGCCACCGTTCTTATCTGTTTGACACAGGGAAGCGCCATACCTAGTCCTAGGCCTTAGTATTCCATTTGTAAAGTGGGGTGGCTTGGTAGAGAAATGAGTTTATCCATGTGTAAAAGAAGGTTGTAGGGGGACTGAAAAGCTGACTCGGCAGTTGAAGCACTGGCCACTCTTGCAGAGAACTGGTGTGTAGTTCCCAGCACTCGCATGGTAGCTCACAGCTGTCTCTAACCCCAGTTCTAAGATATTCAGTGTCCCCTTCTGACTTTTGTGGGCACCAGACACACATGTGTGCACAGACATGCATCAGTCTGGGCTACATAGCAAATTTCAGGCCAGCTCAAACAACAGAGTGAGACTCATGTCTCAGAAGAAAAGAGCCAATGAGATTGTTTGTCACCAAACCTGATGGCCTGAGTGTAATTCCCATAACCCACATAGTCTGGTAAGCTGTCCTCTGATCTCCATATGTCTTGTGGCATGGGTGGGTGCACACACACGCATGCACACACACACACACACACACACACACACAATAGATAAATGCAAGCCTTTTTTTAAAGTGTAGGGAAAGTCATTTTTATTCTCCTTACCTCCCTTTTCTTCTGATATTCTATCCAACTTAGTGATGGGCCGCTCAATCACTTATTCACTTGGTAGACATCCAGGTGCCTACTGGACCCAGCTCTGAGTTAGAGCCCTGGGGGTACAGGGGAGATTTGTTTAGTCCCTGCCCCTCTTGTAACTTAGAGGCCCATGGGGGATAGGCCTGAAGGAGAAAGAACAATGGGCCATGTGCTAGGATGAAGGGACTTCCAGGCAACGTGTGGGAGCCCAGAGAGGTGTCTGATCTAGTCCAGGGAGTCCATAAGCTTCTTCGGAAAGCTGTGTTTGGATGTTTGTCAGGTGAAAGGGGAAAGGAAAACTAGGAAGGGAAAAGACTTAGGACACAAAGCAGCTCATGGGAGAGGGCCTGTCTGAGCAAGCTCCTCCCCTTTGGCTATCTTTCTGGTACCTTTGCTCTCCTTTCTCTGCTCAGAGGTCCCCTTGGCCACACCTCCTGCCCTGAGCTCTAGAAACCCAGACAGGTAACTAGGAAGCTTGAGGGCACGTGGCTCCGTGCTGACCTGGGGCTCCATGGCGACATACATGCCGATCTGGGACTCGGTGCTGACCTTCATGTTGTGATTCCCCCAGGATGAAAAGGCTGAAGGGCTTATCAACATCTCCAACTACAGTCTGGAGAGTGGACAGGACCAGAAGAAAAAATAGTTAAGTCTTGAGATGGGATGGGATGGGATGGGGAGAAAAAGGGAGAGGAAGGGTGGGGTAGGGTGGACATGTGGCAGGTGGCTGGGATTCCTGATCCAGCCTCTCTCTGGGTTCTGAATGGGCATGCCTAGAAGAGACTGTGATTTGGTTTTGCTTGCCGGCAGTGTGTTCCTGCTGACCCATGACGTGTACAAGCCCTTCGTCTTTGCTGCTGAGACCCTGTCTGATCTGAGCATGTGAGCACCTCTTCCCTATTCTCATGGGGTCCCCAGCCTCCACATGCTCAAAAGCTGGGCTCAGGAGACTGGACTCAAACCGCAGCTCTCAGAAAGCCTCAGTTTCGTCATCTGCAGAATGGGCAAAGGAGAATTTCAACCTAAGTTGCTCTCTGAGGGTCAGATCTGTGTATCTGGGACATGGTGGTTCACCCCTTTAATTCCAGCATTTAGGAAGCTAAGGCAGGAAGATTGCAAGTATGAGACCAGCCTGGGCTACATAGTGAGTTTCAGGTCAACCAGAGCAATATAATAAGACACTGCCAGGTGGTGGTGGTGCACGCCTTTAATTCCAGCACTGGGAGGCAGAGGCAGGCAGAATTCTGTGAGTTCAAGGTCAGCCTGGTCTACAGAGCGAGTTCCAGGACAGAGTCCAAAGCTACACAGGGAAACCCTGTCTCAAAAAACAAAACGAAACAAAAACAAACAAACAAACAAAAACAAGAAGGAAAGAAAAAAGAACCGGGAAGAGAACCGAGGATGGAATCCAGTATAGAGTGCTTCTTACTTCCTTACACTCAGACTCCAGTGTCATACAAAAAAGTTCGGGAAAAAAAGTTAAAAACTGTAGGTAAAGGGTGAAAAGCTCAAAGATAAGTGGGCATCAGTGAATGGGAACCCCACAGCCCACATGCTCCCTCCTCTACAGGTGGGTACGTCATCTCATTACCTGCATTTCCAAGTACCAGACTCCAGGCCAGGCAGCCTCTGCCAGAGAAGAAGGTGAGTATCAACAGCGTGGGAGAACGGGCCCAGACATCACTGAGTTCCTGCCTTTCCCAGACTGGGTGCTGGAGTTCGAATCCCCTGGCCCACTCCCTGGCCTCCCTAAAGCCACTCTGTGGTTCTTCGACTCCCCACTGTAGATTGCTACAGCGAGACAGAAGCTGAAGACCCTGACGAGGAGGCTGGGTCCCGCTCCGCTTCGGTGAGTAGAGTCACTTCACATGAGGAGGTAGGGGCTGGACAGCAGGATGTGGGGGGCTCCGGCTGATCCTTGCTCTCCTTCGCCTTGATGCAGCCTAGCCTGGCTCCAGCGTGGAGTGACACATCACCCACGGTTTCACCGTCGCAGAGTCCGAGGACGTCCTTTGGCTCTTCAGCAGGTGCTACACGGGATGAAGGGCACTGGGCTGCAGAGATGTCCTGAGTATGTTCACGTGTTCTCATCCTGTATCCTGCTCCCACAGACAGCAGTGACAGGGTTCTGGAAGGAATGGTACAGGGACTGAGGCAGGGGGGTGTGTCCCTCCTGGGGCAGCCACAGCCCCTGACCCATGAGCAGTGGCGGAGCTCTTTCATGCGGCGCAACCGTGACCCTCATCTCAATGAGCGAGCGCACCGCGTGCGGGCACTACAGAGCACCCTCAAGGTGAGCTGGGAGCACTGGGCATGGGCAAGGATGAGGCTCCGGGCTTCAGGCCCTGGCGTCTGGTTCCCAGCTCCACTGTGAGCTCCAGACGGTAGACTGAAGGCTCGAAGCCCTGGCTTTCTGATTCTGGGGCCCAGTTCTGGACTTCATACTCCCATTTGAGGCTCAATGGTTTCCCGAGCCAAGTTCTAGAAGGTTCTGTGTACAGAGGCTCTTGGGCTGGAGTATCCTGGTGCTGGGCACAGTACATGAAGTTAGTTCTGGGTTCTGTCCCTCCTGGGGTGAATTTTGCCATCTACCCTCACTTTAGGCAAAGCTGCAGGAACTGCAGGCCCTGGAGGAAGTGCTGGATGACCCCGAGCTCACGGGAGCAAAGTTCCGGCAGTGGAAGGAACGGAATCAGGAGCTGTACTCAGAGGGCCTGAGCACCTGGGGAGGGATAAGGGCCCAGAACAATTCCCCAGCCCCAACCTCTTACTCCAGAGGTCAGTCCCCACAGCCCTTGCCCGCTGCCTCTGACCCCAAGGAGCCCTCTCAGCTTTTTCCTTTGACCTCAGAGAACAGCCTCCAACCTCCAGACCTCTGACCCTGGCTAGTACCTGGCTCCTGACTTCTGACCCTGAGGGCTCCGTCATCCCCAGCCTCTGACATGTCTAAGACAGCATGCCCAAGGGGTCTGTGTGAGGCTGGAAGTAGTGCTGGTCCTTGGCGTTACCCTATCCTGGCCTTCCACAGTTTCTGCTCATGTGTCCCCTGGAGTGGAGGGAAAGTGGCCTTCCTCTCTGTGCTGTGGAGAACCTCTAACCATCCTCAGATCTGGGCTACGCCTGCCTCCCGGGTCCTCTGGACAGGTTTCCCAGACCACGTCTGGATGGGCATTTATTTGACATGAGCGATGCTTTTCTACCAAATAAAGCTGATTTCTCCACCATGAACCCTGTGTCTTGCCTCTGAATTGGGAATCTGCACACACCCCCTCCACACACACACACACACACACACACACACACACACACACACACACACACAGGGGTGAAGAGCTGTCCCGCTAGAGCGAACGCTTTCTGACACAGGGTGGGTGACAAGCTCCCTGTGTAGCTCAGTACCCTGAGGTGCCCACTCAAGGCTCCTGGGCCAGGGTGCTGGACTCTGGTCATTCATTCCTTTGCCCATCTCACCTTAGTCCTGGGAGGTCAGGCCTGCTCCCCTGTCCTAGCCCCAGGGAGGGACACTCTTCTTCGTAGATAAGAAAACTTACCTTTCTGGAAGGACCGGGCGGGCAGCTGTGGGACAGGCAGCAGAAGGCAGAGAGTCCTGGCCCTCTCTTCTTCACTCAGCCTCACCTCTAGTCCCTGGATCCAGAAAGGGGACCTCTGTTTACTGTATTCAAATGACGTGGGAGTGCGACCTATTCCCCTGCCCAGCCTCTAACCTCTGACCCCATCCTGAAGCCAGTGGCTAAATACCTGGTTCTGTCTGAGGTACTGAGTGGGAGGAGGGTTTTTTTTTTTTAAATCCAGTTGGAATGTCTTGGTAGAACACAGAAGGGTGTGGGTAACAGCCGCCTTTGTGACCTCACCTCAACACCTCACCTCAACAGGGAGAGAGCCTGCCTGCAGCAAATCTTCACTGGAGAGAAGGGGACAGAGCAAAGATGTCTGAAAACCAAAAGTCATGGCTGCAGCGGCCCGAAAATGGCAGGGTAAAATACTTGAACACTATGGTGGGGAACCCCTGGGTTGGGCAGGGGCAGTGACCACACTAAAGGCCCGCTCCTATCCCCTGTAGACAAACAACACCTATGCACTTATGGGCCGACATGAGGAGCAAGTACTCATCAGCCGTAGGGACATCGTGGACAAGAAGGTAAGGACAGGAGGAAGGTAGGGACAGGCTGGGCTGAGACTTAAGTGACCCCATAGTTCCCTTCTGTGGCCCTCTTCCCTTTAAATATCCTGAGGACCTTCGTTAGGAGCTAATGCGCACTGAAGTGACTCCTCACAGGAACCCCTCTGTTGTGATAGCCGCTCACCAGCGGATACTCCAGGACCCCCAAAAGTTCCCAACAGCAACTCCCTTTTTATGATATTTGTTGTGACTTCTTTACTGGCATCAACAGCACCCTCTAGGACAGACCCCCAGGTGGATCCCCATTCCCAGGGAACAGGGAGTAAATAGTCCAGGCAGAGGCCACCTGTGGTGACACCTGCCTGAAGGAAGGCCTCCATTCCCTCCCAGGATGCCTTGGACATGCAAGAGTTCATCACTACCTTGTTCGTCAAGCAGTTGCTTCGACATCCCGCCTTCCAGCTGCTGCTGGCCTTGCTGCTTTTGACCAACGCCATTACCATTGCTATCCGTACCAACTCTCACCTTGGTCAGGTGGGCTGCTGGCCTGACCTCTACCCCTACTGGCTCTGACCTGGGACAAGGTGCTTCCTTTCCAGGTCCTTGACTCCTTGTCTGTGTATGATGGATGGTTGGATTGGATGTTCTTCAGGACTCGGGTCACCAAACAGGCCTAGTGCAGCAAACCTTTCACCCTAATGTTAGGAAGACAGAGGCAGTCCGATCTCTGTGAGTTAGAAGCCAGTCTTGTCTGTGTAGCAGGTTCCAGGCTAAGCAGACTGCATAGTGCGATTATGTTCAAATAAGTAAATACATAAAAAAGACAGTCTCCATGGACCTTCGTGGAATCTGCAAGTCAAGAAAGACTTTTTGGGCTAGAGAAATGACTCAGTGGCTGAGAGCACTTGTTGCTCTTCTGGAGAACCTGAGCTTGGTGACCTGAGTCTGGATTTCCAGAACCCGAATAAAAGCTGGATGCCACGGTCTGGTGTAGGTGAGAAGAGCCTTGTAGCTAGCACAGTGAGGACCCTGGAGGTCCAGGCACCAGCCATTGGTGGGTTATGAGTGCAGACGGCCCAGCATTCTGATAGTGAACTCAAGCTGGGGAGACAAAAGGAAAGAAGGTGGGGGGGACAGAGGGAGCAGCGTTGCAATTTTTTTCTTTTATTTTGCACGTGTATATGTGTGTGTGCACGTGTGCTCGCGTGCATGTGTGTGTGTGTGTGTATACATGTACCATTGCAAGAATGTGGAGGTTGAAGGATGACTTACAGGAACCAGCTCTTCTCCTTTCACTCTGGGATCCAACTAAAGTTGCCAGGCTTGATGGCAAGCACCTCTACCCACTGAGCCACCTTGTCAGTCCCCGAGGACCATTTTGTAAAGTGTTAAAACAAGATCTTATTATGGGTCTCAGTCAAAAATACTGGAACTGTGGCTGAGAGTGTAGTTCAGTTGGTGAATCAGAAATTCAAAGTCACCCTTGGCTACATAGTTTGAAGCCAGCCTGGGCTACATGAGATTGTCTCAAAAAAATATAGTAGAACAGGAAAAATAAGCAAAGCCTGAGGACCCTAGTGTGGAGCTTATGACTGAGGATCAGAGCCCAGGAGGCCATAATGAGTGTGGACAGCAGGAGACCCACATACAGAACAGGGAATCTGTTGGCTACTGGGGTACAGAAAGAGAAGAGGCAAGATAACTGGTTTCCTGGGATGGACTCCATGGACTGGGAGGAGGTCACAGCTATAAGGAAGCTGAGAGAGCAGGGTTGAGGTTGGGGAAGAGTGAGCATGGTTTTGGACAGTGCGTAGCTACCAATCTGCCAACCCGTGCACCCAGGGTATATGTCCGGATCTACAGAGGGAGGATGCCTCTGACCTAACCCAGAGAGCTTGGAATGCTGCAGCCACAGGGGTGGTTGGGACCAGGCTAGCAGAGAAGTTCCCTAGGGTCTGGGGTCCTGCAACTCCTGGCGGGGAGCTTTTTATGTTTTTGTTTGTTTGTTTGTTTTCTTTAGTCCCAGAGTCTGTTTAGCCCTTCCTCCACCCCTTTTCCCAAATAGCGTACTCTAGAGGCTGGGGTGAAGGCCTGCCGAGTGTATCTGGGCTCCTAACTCCCCACCTGGGAGATGCGACAGAAAAGGACAGAACAGTCACCTGACACAGCACGTGACTGCACTTTGCACTGCCTGGCCTCTGTGCAGAAAGTCGTTCCTAAAAGAACCCATAGAGATGCTAAGGTGTAAGAGTAACAGGGGTACCCCCCACATCCTCTCTCCAGGCTTCCCCTCTTCAGGCCCCCATACCCTCTCCCCAGCACCTCCATTCTTTCTCCAGCACCCCATCCTCTCTCCAGCACCCCCCACCCCCCTCCCGGCTCCCCCTCTTCTAGCCCCCCACACCCTCTCTCCAGCCTGGCGCAGATTCTGCTCACTGATGCCTCTGCCCCTCTCTTTCTCTGTCCTCCTGGCAGAAACACTATGAGCTGTTCGCGATCATAGATGACATTGTGCTGACCGTCCTTATGTGTGAGGTTCTTCTCGGCTGGATCAATGGCTTCTGGGTTTTCTGGAAGGTAAGGTCCCTGGAATTCCTGTCAGTATACCCTCACCTCATCCCTCCTTGGGGGTCTGCGGGCACATCAAGTCTTTGTCCTGAAAAATAAAGGGTTTGTATGGAGAGAGAGTATATCAGTGCAAGGGGCCTTGGGAGCGAGATTTCAGAGAAATTTGTGATTGGGCAGAACATATGTTGTTCAGGAAGTGCTCCTCCATGTGTTTGAACCCCTGCTTCTCCCTCCCCAGCTCTCTCTACTCACACGAACCCTGGTTTCTGGCTTTCAGAAACGGAGTCAAGGAACTGAGAGTATCTATCTTAATTCACACGGTTCTGGATCAGAACTCCGTAAACTTTTTCTGCAGTGCAGTAATTTGTTACGTTTTATTTGGTGTGGGGGGGGGGGGGGCAGGGGACTTGTTTGGTTGGTTGGCTTGGTTTTTCCAGACAAGGTTTCTCTGTGTAGCCCTGGCTGTCCTGGAAATTAGTTTTGTAGGGCAGGCTAGCCTTGAACTCACAGAGATCCACTGGCCTCTGCCTCCCAAGTGCTGGGGTTAAAGGCGTGCGCCACCTCTGCCCAACTTGTATTTTAAGTTTTATAGGCTCTATAGTACTCCCCTCTGTCAGGTAGCGTGAAGCACAACCAGAACGCGGATGGATGGGAGTGGTAGTATTCCAGCATAGCTCCCCGGTCCCCTGTGTGTTGATGAGGTGTTTCTTTATTTGTTGTTTGTGGGTCTTACTGTGTTGCCCAGACTGACCGCAAACTCGTGACCTCTAGTGATCCTCCTGCCTCAGCCTCCCAGTGATCAGCTCTAGTCCAGTAAGATTCCACTTGCCCCAGACAGTCTGGAGGCTGAGGTAGAAGGACACCTGGGCTAAGTCGTGGACTGCCATCTCCGGAAGACAGACAAAACCCTTCAAGTGTGGACCCTGCAGTTTGAGTTTCATGTAATTTTCACATTTCCCCTCTGATCCTCTCTCTTCCCTTGCTTTCATATCACACATCGACTCTCTTCAGGAGGTGTCTTCTCTTCAGGAGGTCTCTTCCAGGCTGGGCTTTTGCTGCTCTGTGTCTCCTTCCTAGGTCTAGAAGTTCTCTCTGGCAGAGTTAAAGAGTGTTCTCTATCTACCTCCCTCAAAAGAGTCTATGAACCCAGCATGACAAAAGCTGTATCCCCAGAACTTGTGACACCCCCACCCGCACCACCTCCATCTCCTGAGTGACTGGGATGACAGGCCTTGACTCCACAGAGAGGCAGAATTGTGTCTCCCTGTGTGTGTGGTGTGTGGCATAGACTCGGTGAGGTGAGCAAGACTTGAGTTGATTTGATTGCCTCCCAAGGTGAAGAGCATCTTCCATAAAAACAGAGCTTTCTTTTTGAACGTTTACCTCAATCACACATTGAACAGATCGCTGTAGAAAACCACACAGAGTCCTGGATCCGATCCAGTCCAATCCCTCACCCTCTTGCCTTCACTCACCTCTGTGGTAATCTTCTAGCCCCTGTTTATCCTCTCAGCTGCTGGTTTATAATCCTAGGCATGTAAGCATGTATTTTTAGCGCTCCCTTTTCTGACTGTAGCCTACTGTAAACAATGCTTTGCTCTTAGTTGGTACTTATGGGATCCTGGTAATCTTTCTGTATTAGTGCACAATGAATGGGCTGTAGCTTATATTACTGGTCTCTCATTGCTGGGTCCATTAGTTGTTTTCCACTTCTTTTGTATTTATATGTTTATGACTTATTTTTGAGACAGGGTATCACTGTGTAACTCTAGCTGGCCTGGAACTCCCTCTGTAGACCAGGCTAACTCAAAATCACAGATCTCTCATTCCGTCTGCCTCCAGAGTGCTGTGACTAAAGACATGTACCACCAGACCTAGCTACTTTAACGTGGTTAATTATAGTGTTTGTCACACTTTACACTGAGGCAGGAGCATCCAGGAGTTTTCAAGTCACCTAACTAGACAGATCAAGTCATTGGCTAAAGGGCTAGCCTTGTATGTATGGCGCGTCTTCACTGTGAGTCTCTGAGAAGGACTGTTTTCATAAGTATAGGACTGTGGTTATGTGTTTGCGGCATGTTGGGGGTGGCAGCCAGGAGATGGCAGCTGGCTAGCTTTGTTCTCAGAGGAACATCAAGTCTCCGGGTGCTCCCCTGGGCTGGGCTTGACAGACCCTTTTGGGCCGCTCCCCCCTTCAGGATGGCTGGAACATCCTCAACTTCGCAATTGTCTTTCTATTGTTCATGCAATTCTTCATAAAACATCTTAATATAATTGCCGTCACCTACACTCTCAGGTGAGTTTGGAAGCCCTGAAGGTAAGAGGGGTATCTATCCTGACCACAGGAGTGAGTAAGGAAGTCATTACCATCTGGGGCTCAGCTCTGCCTCTTTGGGAAGTTGGTGGAAGGGAAGTAAAAAAGAGGTAAAAAGGAGGAAGGGGTCTGGGAAGGGTCAAGGGGCACCCCTGAGAGGCTCTGCCACAGGGCACTTCGGCTGCTACATGTGTGCATGGCAGTGGAGCCCCTAGCCAAGATCATCAGGGTCATCCTGCAGTCGGTGCCGGATTTGGCCAACGTTGTGGCCCTCATCCTCTTCTTCATGCTGGTCAGTGTCTCCCAGGCCCCAGCCTATCTCCCTCCCTGAACAGAACCTGTAGGGCAGTGGGTGGGGATGGATGCCTAGAAAAGCAAGGAGCTTGGGTTGGAATCCTTGTGAGTCCCTGGGAGCATTTATTTGCATTCATTTGCACGTCTTGCCAAGCTCCAAGGTCACTGGGTGAGGTTAGGTGGGTTGTGGTCTCTTTGGCAGGTATTCTCTGTGTTTGGGGTCACACTCTTTGGTGCGTTCGTGCCCAAGCATTTCCAGAACATGGGGGTGGCACTGTACACCCTCTTCATCTGCATCACCCAGGATGGCTGGCTGGACATCTACAGTGACTTCCAGTGAGTCCAAGTGGGGTTCTGGGGTTCCCTCCCCTTCTGGCTAGGGCAGGTTAGGGAAACTGTGAGAGGGGCCCCTGGGACTTGGAGGAAACTGGCCTCACAGGAAGTGACTACCCAGGAAAATCATGGTACTTGAACCTTGTTTCCACAGAAGCTTCACACAGTCACAGGGTCACCTGACCCTGTTCATGGAGCACGCTGTGTGGTTCAGCCTTGGGCCAGGGAGTAGGTCTGTGGTTGTGCCTGAGGTTACACTAGAGCACAACCAACAACCTAGAGGCCTGGGAAGTTGGGGTTCAATCCGCTCATTCTCAGATCTGCTCCCCAAAGCCATTTTTGTGTTCTGTTCTTGGCTTCTTATCTGTCAAGTTCAAGTCCGATGTCCTTCCATCCCACTCCCCTTTGTGAAGTAAAAGTCAAGTAGGCAAAGGGTTTCTTCAGTCATAGGGAGTGGAGAGCCTAGCGTTCAGGAAGCCGAGGTAGGAGAATCAAGAGTTCAAGTTCAGTACAGCCAACCTGGGCTGTGATAAGACCCTGTTTCAAAGAAGAAAAAATGAGGAAGGGTAGGAGGAAAGGCACCTGGGGGTGGAGCTTAGTCGGTAGAGTGTTTACCTAGCCTGGGTTCAATTCCCCCAAACCACACAAACCAAGATTGGCGACATTCACCTATACCGTACAGTCTGAGGCCAGCCTGAGCTAATTTGAAAAACCAATCTTAAAAAAAAAAAAAAAAAAAAGCTGACATTTTTAATCCCAATATTCAGGAGGCAGAGGCAGGAGGATCTCTGTAAGAACTCAGTCAGCCTGGTTTATATAGCCAATTTCAGACCAACCAGACTTACATGGTAAGACCTGGCCTCAAAAAAACAAAAACTAAAAATACCACCAAATCCAAAAGCACAAAATCTAAAACCAAACCAAACCAAACCAAAACCAGCAAAAGGTGGGCATTAGAGTCCAGAGCACGATTGGTTGCTTGGTAGAAGATGCTTTTAATCCCAGCACTGGGGAGACAGAGGCAGTCTAATCCCTGAGGCCAGCCTGACCTACGTGGACTGCTCAGTGAAGTGGCACTGGGCTTTTGAGTCCTTTTCCCTGCACCAGCCCTGTGACATTAGACAAACTATTCCACTGTGGGGCTCAAGCTTGAAGTAATCCTCCTGCCTTAGTCGGCTAAGTGCTGAGATTACAGAAATGAGCCACCAAGACCTGCTTGTTTATTTATTTGTATTTTGTAGTTCTGGGTCTTAGACCTGCTAAGCAAGCCTTCTCCTACGGAGCTATAGCTCCAACCTCTAGCTTTTAAAAGTTGGAGGAGCTGGGCGGTGGTGGCGCAGACCTTTAATCCCAGAACTCGGGAGGCAGAGGCAGGCGGATCTCCATGATTTCGAGACCAACCTGGTCTACAACAGCTAGTTCCAGGACAGCTCCAAAGCAACACAGAGAAACCCTGTCTCTAAGAGCAAAACAAAAACAAACAAAAAATAAGTTGGAGGGGTTGATTTGTCTCTTTTATTTTTGAGGTGGAGTTTAGTATAGCCCAGGATAGCCTTGAACGGCTCCTGCTCCTTCCACTTCCCAAATGATCACAGTCATACATTCCCCCTCCCCCCGGTTTATGATCACAGTCATACACACCCCCCACCCGGTTTATGATCACAGTCATACATACCCCCCACCCGGTTTATGCTGTGCTGGGGCTTTGTGCACCTGGGCAAACACTACCAACTAAGTTTTACTCCTAGTTTTGTTTTTGGGTTTTTTTTGTTTGTTTGGTTTTGAGACAGGAACTCAGGTAGCCCAGGCTGGCTTTGAACTCCTGATCTCCTATCTTTACTTCCTGAGTGCTGGGATTCTGATCTTCAGTTTACGAATTCGTAATTAGAGACTCCAGTGCAATATTGACTACCTCATAGAGTGCCCTGAGGGTCAGTCTAGAAACTCTGTAGAGCTCTTCAGAGTGTGGCTCAGCACAGAGTGCTTCTATTTATAGCACATATAATATAGCCTGCGCTTTATAATGCTGACACACCAATCTCCTGGCAGGGCTGGTTAGAGTGTTGGCCCTGCTGCCTAGCAGGCAGCACAGTAGGCCTCAGTCAAAGAGCTGCTTCTGCAGCCAGCAGGAGTGGGAAATAGTCCCTTGTTTTAAAGATGAGAAAGCTGCGGCTTAAAGGGCCAGGGAAATGACAGCGCTCCTGACTGCCCCCCACAGGGTAGAAGGCGAGATAGCCATTGAAGTTGGAGGCGCCATCTACTTTGCCATCTTCATCACCATTGGCGCTTTCATCGGCCTCAACTTGTTTGTGGTTGTCGTGACCACAAATCTGGAACAGATGATGAAGATAGGAGAGGAGGGGCAACAGCGTCAGATAACTTTTAGTGAGGTGCATGGGATGGGGAGGACGGGAGGGAGGAGAGTGTGCATGAAGGACTTGTGTACGTGTGTGTTTGCACACTCGAGTGCACGGAGAAAGCCAAATCCAAAACCCGGAGGCCAGACCTCCACCTCTGTAACGTCCACTCAGTAACTGAGGCTCTTGGGGGGTGGATATGGGTTCCTAGCTGTGCCATGATAATTCAAAGCTGGGAGATGGGGCGGCATGAGGGCAATTCACCCAGTGGGATTCTGAAGTTATTCTCGATGATGGGAATGATAATAGCACTCGCTTGCCAGGACCCTCTTGAGATATAGGATCTGATGAGTGCTTGCAAGCAAGAGCTCAATAAATGAACTGGAGATCGGGCTCAGTGGTTAAGAGCACCGATTGCTCCTGCGGAGATCTTGGGGTCAAGTCCCAACATCCAGATGGCCACTCACAATTGTTTATGACTCCAGTTCCAGGGGATTCATAGCCATGGCTGCCTTCCGGTCTTCACAGGCATTGTATGGACATGGTGCCCTTACTGATATACATGCAGGCAAAACATTCATGTATTGACTGGGTGTGGCGGTGCATGCCTTTAATCCCTGCAGAGGCAGGTGGATCTCTGAAGTCAGCTTGGTCTTCAGAGCAAGTTCAAGCCACACTACAGAGAAACCCCATTTTGAAAAGCAAAACAAAACTGGGCGGTGGTGGTACACACCTTTAATCCCAGCACTCAGGAGGCAGAGGCAGGTGGATCTTTGTGAGTTTGAGGCCAGCCTGGTTTACAGAGCTAGTTCTATAGGACAGCCAGGGCTACACAGAGAAACACTGTCTCGAAAAACCGAAGGAGGGAGGACAAAAAAAGCAAACGAGGGTGGGGGTCTGAGGGAGGAGGGAGAGAAGGAAAGAGGGAAGGAAGGGAAAGAAAAAAAAAGAACTTAATGAATGTTAGCTCCTCGGTGTTCACTTGGTAGAACTTGCCTTTAAAAGGGGCAGAGTGGAGCTGAGTACTTTGGAGAGGTCGGAGGGCCAGGATCATAATCTCCCAGAGTAGGTAGGGCTTTAAAGGTTTGCTGGGGGCGAGAATTTCCAAAGGGATCCGAGAGGGGCTTATGTTCCACTTGAAACTGAGTCATCACAGTCAGGAAGGGAGGCTAAGATTAACTGGAGCTGAGGACCAGACCCAGTGTAGAGTAGCTAGCCTGGCTTGCTGGAGGCACAGATAAAATAAGGTAAAATGTTATAATACCAAAAGGGTTAAAGGGGGCATGTCCTAAGAGACTCAGCCTCCCCGAAGTCACGTGGCCCTGAGCTGCCTACCGTCTCCATTCACTGTCCTCAGCCAGGTGCAGATGAAGAAGACTTTGGCGACGACCTGCCATTGGTGCATTGTACAGAGGCCCGCAAGGAGGCTTCTGGTCACCCCCAGGAGCCGCTGGTTGGGGGTCCCCTGTGCAACCTCACGGAAAAGACCTGCGATAATTTCTGCCTGGTGCTTGAAGCCATACAGGAGAATCTGATGGAGTACAAAGAGATCCGAGAGGAGCTCAACACGTAGGGGAGGGTACTGGGGAGTCAGAACAGGGCCTGACTGAGGTCAGGCCCATTTTCTAAGTAATTTGCCCAGAGTTCAAGCTTCCCAGCTCAGGAGCTGGTGTCCTACCTTTCTCCCAGGAGGTCTCTGCATGGCCAGGGTTTCCCTTAGGGATGCGGCAGAAGCAGTGAGGGAGGAGGGAAGACGAAGGAGGGTGCACACCAGGGAAGAAACGGAAGGGCTTCGCGGAGGAACACAATGTCTCTTCTACCCCAGGATCGTGGAGGAGGTGCGCTCCATCCGTTACAACCAGGAGCAGGAAAAAGAGTTGTTGCAAAAGCACACCTCCAAAAGCCTGTCCTTCCAGAGCGAGTCCTCCCTAGACATGCGTGAGGTGGCTACCCAGCAAGACTTGATCTCTGCACTGGTCAGCAGGGAAAAGGTGCGCATTCCCTTCCCTACCTAATCAACTCCTCCCCGCCCCCCAATACCCCCGCCAGGCACCACAGTCAAGATTTCCTTCCTTTTCCAGTCGACCCTCTAAAATCCCCCCCTCATCTCAGCTGGCACCCATTTGGTCAGGTATAGTCAGAGAGGCCCCCCTTCCTCCCATCAGACTCTGCCCTAGGAGCCATCCCCCTCCCTCTTTCCCTTCCCCCGCACCTTCAGACCTATCTTTTTCTTAGAGCGGCTTTTGCCAGCTCAGCTCTTCCTTGGAAACAGGCCCTTATTCCCACATTGAAAAAAGAACCCCTGTCAACCCATCTAGGGTGCATATGAGCGCCTCTTATCTCATGGGAATGGAGTCTTGGGAATGCCTGGGCTCCTCAGTTCAGAGTGGGTTCTAGGCATGCTAGAGTTACCCAGCAGGGGCAGCTAGCTGTTGAGACAGGAGAAGGAAGGGACAGTCTGTCCATTCAAGGTAAGTGGAATGACAAGAAGACCTTTTGGTTTGCAGGTTCATGAGTCTAGCACAAATATGCTTAGCAAACACAAGTTCAGCCTCTGAGAAGGCAGAATGGGAGCCAAGGGGCCTGCACACACACGGGATCAGCTGCTGCATCTTCCTGCATCCCTGACTGGAGCCCATCGCTCTCCCTTCCACCTGGGTGGCAGAGGCCACGGGGCTGGGATGGTGGCAGCATCTGCAGGGCTTATGCCTGTGAGCCTGAGATCCGGAGGAGTCAGGACAAAGGATTCTGGGCGAGAATGGAAGCCCCACAGCAGGGATGAGCACAGAAGGGGGTAGCCAGGCGGTAGCCTAAAGATGAGTATCCCTGACATCTGCTCCAGCTGGAGCTGGACGAGGCCTGGGTGGGCCCAAGCATTGAAAAGAGCCAGGCCAGTAAGAGTGCATACAGTAAGGCTGTATGCACCAAAAATAAAATTTCATGTTATAATCAATTATTCTGACTGGCTGTTCTCAACCTGTTTTGCATCCTTGCCTTTGGTCTCCTAGATGTGAAAGATTGTGCTTCCTAAAAGCCTGTTTGTATGGGGTGTGGTGGCTCACACCTTATTCCCAGCACTTGGGAAGTTGAGGCAGGAGGACTAAGAATTTAAGGTCATCCTCAGCTGCTCAGCTAGCTGAAGACCAGCCTGAGTTACAGGAGACCTTGTCTCAAACAAGACAAAGCAAACAAACAAACCAAACACCCATTAGTGCTGAATGTGGTGATGTAGCCCTCAATCCCAGCACCTGAGAGACTGAGATAGGAGGACTTAGGAGAATTGGAGGCTAGCCTGGGCTTCGCAGTGAGAACTAGTCTTGGGGTTGGTCTGATGAACCCCTTAAGGACTTCCAATTCCATGAGGGAGGAAAAGTTATCCCCTGATCAATTTGACTTTAAGGGTAGAGATACAAACCTCTGTCGGGCCAAAATTATCTCGGGGCCTGAACCTCAAGGCCTGTAGGACAGAGAGAAACCTTTCTCAAACCTGGCTCAAGTTTGAAGGATAGTCTCAAAGCTACCAAGTGAGCATGCGACAGCAAAATCTAGGTAGACACCCCTCCAGCCAGAGGGAGGGCTTGGCTGTCTCTCATTGGCTGGAGGTACCCCCATATCACACCGTGTCACTTAACCTCTATAAACTGATGCTTACAGTAATAAACTGAGTTCCTGCTTTGACTGGACTCCCTATCGCGTCTGATTGTCCTGCATCATGGGGCTGTGGATCTGACTGTTCTGTGTTGGGGGGCTGTGGAATGGGCAGATAGCACACTCACCTTTCCCTGGTGAATAAGACTAAGGAGGCCCGGAAACTGGCACTCAGTGTGGGGCTTGGCTGGTCCCAGGGCTAAGCGGTAGGTCAAGGTGAGTGGCACCCCATGATGGGTAACGCAGCTTCACACAAAAATGACCCAGCACTTGAGGCACTGAGATGTATGCTACTCTCCAGAGGCCTGGAATCATCAGACCACAGTGTGATCCAGGTATGAGAAGAAATAATTACCCTGGCCCCCTGAGTACCCACCAGGAATCTTTTCTCATGGGACACATGGAACTGGGTGGAAACTCTGGCCAGAGAAAGGGAAAAACACTTTGATATACCCCCACCATTGGGATTCTATCCAACCATTAAGGCCCTTAAGGCATGTTTTCACCCTGCTGCTCTGCCTCCCCCAATGGTGGGTAAGGAAATCCGAAAATAACAACTAGCTGGAAGGGCAGGGGAGGAGGAGACAGGCGAGGAGCAGGAGAGGTCTGAAGAATTCAAAAGTAACCAGTTAACCAAAGGAATGGGAGAAAAGGAGACAGACGAGGGGGAAGATCAAAAATGGGCACAATGTACTGAAGAGCAGTCCCAGGGGGAAGGAATAAGGCAGGCAGAGGCAAAGACAAAAAGGAAAGTAGGTATTGCCTGTGACAAGGAGCAGCTGCCTCCTTATGCCCCCAGCCACCTTGGAACGGATAAAATGGAAGAGGGGAAGGGGACAAATAAGGGGGCTCCATCCTGCCAGGAGGAAATGAATATACCAGCCTCGGGAAGGAACTGCAAAGTTGGGGCTCTCACACAGAGAAAGGTGGGGCGGAGTCTCCTGGAGATCCTAACCCTACTTACTCAGAGGCCTATAGGGCTAAGGTTTACCGACCCCAAGCCTTCCTGGTCAATGTTGCCCCCCAACCCTAATCGCCTCCTAGCCTGGCATCCTTGAGAATCTAAGGACCTGAAAGAATTGAGGAAGGCAGTGACCAAGGATGGCCCCAACTCTCCTTGGGCCATGACCCTCCTTCAGGAGGTAGCCTACCATCCTTGTGTCCCCAAGGACTGGTATGATCTGGCTAAGGCTACTCTGGGGGAATCCCAATATGTTAAATAAATGGCCTTCTTAAGAAGGCCTGTCACACTAGGGCAGAGTTCAATAGAGCGGCTGACCCCCTATTCCCATCACTTGTCTGATGCTATCTGGTACCGGGAAGGCTTTTCTACTGGGATCTAACAAGCCACGATTGCAGCTCTGTATCAGGACCAAGATAGACAAGCAGACCTGGAGGCCTGGGCCAAGCTAGAGGAGGGACCCACTGAGTCCCCTACAGTTGGCACGATGCAAAAGCCAGGGGAGCTGCTCCTGGGGGTTGTCTACAAACCTCCTGGGACAAGATTTGTTAGGATAAGTGGATAGCGTTGTTACCACTGACCACATAGCCTTTTATGATGATAAAACTGAGCAAGGTGTCATCAGGCAGACCCCAGACACCTGGATTCACCCCCAAAAGTAGAGGCCACTGTCCCTAGCGTCCCCTCATTAGGTGGGTACTTGGTAAGCTAGTATGGGCGGAGCAGTGGCCATTTCCTGAATTTAAACTTAAGATCTCAAGGAAATCATCAGAAATCTGCTTGAAGAGGGACAGACAAGGCCCTCGATGAGCCCCTGGAACAGCTCTGTGTTTGTGATTCATAAGCCTAATGGGTCCTGGAGAAGGTTACAGGACCTACGAGCAATCAAAGTCCTGGAGAAGGTTACAGGACCTAGGAGCAATCAATGCCCATGTGGAGCTAGTAGAGGCCCCTTTAAGGGGCTTACCTTGGGTCCCAGCAGTCCCCTCCCACTTTTGCCTCACTGTAATTGATCTAAAGGGCTGCTGCTTCTCAGTTCCTCTTCATGAAGAGAATTGTGAAAAGTTTGCCTTTTCCATTCCTACAGTTAACTCCTCTCAACCTGACGAGAGATACTATGGACTATTCTCCCACAGGAGATGACCAATAGTCCGGTCTTTTGCCAACAATATTTATGGAGTATCATTTCTCCATATGAATGATCTAATCATTGGGCATTTGGAGGAATCAGGGCTAGCTCCCTGGATAACCACTATTGGTGATATCCTCCAACAACATGGCTTTAAAATAGCCCCAAACAAAACACAAAAGGTACCCCCATTTTCTATATTGGGATCCCAATTAACACTCACTCAAGCCAAAGTGAATGGACCCCAATTCTGCCTGAGTCTCTCACTTTATCGATATTACAAAAGATACTGGGGAAATGAACTGTGTAAGGCCCTGGTTGCCTACAGAGACTGGGAGACTAGATGTGTTGTTATATGATCTCCTAAAAGGGGGCAACCTTATGAGATCATTTCCTTGACCCCTGAGGGCCGTCAGGCACTCACTAAATTCAGCAATGAGCTCCATCAGGCTGCTTTGGAGAGATATAATCCTAACATTCCAATCCAAGGTTGGATATTATTAGGGTAAAAGTCCATGCTGGCTGCCATTGTTCAGCAGTCACAACCACTAGAATGGGTACACACCACCCTGGGGGGCACTCCCAGAGTGTACTCTAGTCAATCAAATAGCTGATATGATCATAAAAATCAGGGACATGTCCCTCCAACATTATGGAAAAGATCCCTCTAAATTAATAATCCCATTCAAAATTAAGATTTAGAATGGGCAGCCAGACATTGTTCTCAACTGAGCCTCGCCCTGGAGGGATTTCTGGGAACCCTGGACACCCACTTTGGGGAGTTCTGGTTAATGAAGCTGTATCAAGAACCACAAGGGAGAGCCCCCTTAGACTTTTCTTCTAGGCGCCTGCCCCAAGCATTCACAGATGGTGTGAAGAATGGGGCCACCTTTGTAGTTTTCCCTGCAGGGGGGACCAAAACAAAGATTACCAAAATTCTCCTTTGTGGGGGATCCGTTCAATAAAAGGAAATGATGGCCATATATATTGCCCTACAAGAGGTCCCAGAACCCTGCAACCTCTGTTCAGACAGCTCTTATGTGGTGAACCTACTGCCACACTTACCCTATGCCTATATCAGATTGGATGCTAATCCTATTTCTGCCTTGATGATACAACTCAGATCGCTCTTAGAGGGAGAAAAAGCCCCATATATAGTCAACATCTCAGAGGACACCAAAACCTCCTGGCCTCATTTCCCAATTAAATACCGCTGCGGATGCTGCAGCTTCAGGGGCCTGTCTCATAGAGGTCTCAACTCTGCCCATACAAAATGCTACCCAAATGCATGACTTAACTCATGTCAACTGGAGAGTACTCAAATACCTATACCCCCAGATCCCCACAACAGAATTAAAGAGAATTGTTCATACATGTAAGACTTGCCAACAGTTTCTCCGCACTCTCCCCCTTTACAAAGGCCAGGGGTGAACCCAAGAGGGTTAGGACCCAATATCATCAGGCAAACAGATGTAACACATTACCCTCTGTTTGGCAAATTAAAATGTATGTTTGTGACCATAGACATGTATTCTAAGGCATGCTGGGCTACCGCCCACTCAGGGGAAAAGGCAACCCTTGCCAAAAGCCACTTCTTACAGTGTTTTGCTATGTTGGGCTACCACAACAGGTCAAGACCAACAACGGCCCCTGTTTTATAAGTAAAACATTAAAAGAATTCTTCCAGAGATGGACTATATCCCATACCACTGGGATCGCATACAACCCTTAAGGTCAAGCTATTGTCGAAAGACATCACCAATACCTCAAAGAGGTCTATATAAAACAAAAAGGGGAGAAGTCTCCCCTCCACCTACAATTGCAAAAGGCATTATTAACCATTAATATTTTAAATTTTCAAAAAATCAGATGAACAAAATAGATTCCAGAAACATTGGGGATCCCAACAAGGTCCTGCCTAAAGGTTAGGTGGAAGGATCCTCCCACTAACCAATGAAGGGGCCCAGATCCCTTGTTGACACAGGGCTAAGGATATGGATGTGTCTTCCCCAACAGAGGGAAAACGCCAATATGGCTACCTGAACGTAACTTAAAATTACTCCCTTTTCTCAGGACAATGGGGAAGACCTTTATAGCTTTAAACCTTACCCACCCTGAGGTCACAGAGGCCTGTTGGCTTTGCTCACAGCCGTTACCCCTACTACTTTGAAGCCTTTGGGGTAAACGGTTCTTATGAAATACTAGATAAAGTTGATAT